GCGTGGTGCCGTGTTGGTGTGTGCGGCACCGTCATGCGGGGCAGCAGCGTGGCGTTTACGGACTGTGTGGCTGTGGGCTGATGCATGTGGCGGGAGGCGTGTCTGAGGAGAATCTGCGAAAGGAGGAGCGACATGAGTTTGGCGGTACTGGTGTTCGAATTGCGAGGGAGGAAGAAACACAAGTGATTTCTGACATTTCGGTGGGTGTGCCACGTCCACCGATGAGCTCTCAGGGAGTGGGAAAGGAGGGAGGGAGACGGAGACTGTGCACACCCGCTGCGGCGTGTGGTGCCACAGGATGCGATTGCCATTGTGAAGGGCGCAACGGCCGCAATGCGTGCAGCAGGGCGTCATCCGCATCTTTTTGTCTGCAGAGCTTGCTGGTGCTGCGAGGAGGTGCAGACGACCTCTCATCATTGGGTTGCTGAGGCCGTTTTTCCTCTCTGCTCAGCGGGAAAAGCAACTCTTCCTGCACGTGACGTGCTGGTCTGCATCGATGCTCCCAACGGGGCATCACGCCGCCGTTTCGTTGCAGTGCAACTCTCGTGCTTTTCACTGCACACGTGGTCCTTTCTCATTTGTCTTATTTGCATGGCCATTGCCTGCGGTCCCCCATTGGGAGGCTGCTCACATTTTGAAATTATTTTTTTATGCTTTTGAGAGGTGCTGGAGAATAATGGCTGCGGGGATGGTGATGTTGTGTTTTTCTGTGGATGGGTGACGGTGTGTACTGCTGTTTCGCTGCCTTTCTGCCACTGTCTCCTTCACTTATCGAACACACACGGACACACGCTAGGAAGGAAAGCAAACAAGCGCGAATCGCTACTGTGAGATTCGAAGGCACTGAAAGGACCAACAGCACACACACCGCCCACACAAACACATATTTATATGCTCTCACGTGTTGCTGCAGTGAAGGCACCCCGCACACACAACCGTCGCCGCGTGACCGGATCCAGCGGAAGGAGGAGGGAAGGAAGAGAGAGTGAGCCGCAGAGGCCCAACATGTCCCGGCGTGTGTTTACTTTCGCGGTGCTGCTCCTCCTTGTCGTGATGATGTGCTGCGGCAGTGGGGGTGCCACCGCTGATGAGGCAGCGTCAGGTGAAGCGTCTTCACCGGAGACATATTTTGATTGGAGAGATGTGAAGAAAGAGGAAACAGTGGGCTTGCTTCGTGTTCCCAGTCTTGTTGAGGTGAATGGTGATGTATTTGCCGTTTCCGAGGCGCAGTGCACGAAGGGAGACAGTGTATGCGATTTTAATGCGAGGTAATCCAAGTAACTGGCGTTTGGTGAACAAACAGAAGAAGAGTTGGATAAAACTACAGTAAAGTCACCAGTACTGGATAAATGTCCCTTTGATGGAGGGAATTGCCCCTCCCAAGAACGGGGTCCGGCTGTTTCTCAAAACGAGACGAAGGCGCATGTGAGCCGACCAACAACAGTTGTGAAGGAAAGTGATATTTAAATGCTTGCTGGGACATACAGCCGGAAAGCCACAGTTGATGCTGAGGAGGGTGGTGCCGATGGCTGGGGACTTTTGCTGGTGAAGGGGAACGTGAGTTGTGGGGGCAGTGAGAAAAGAATTTATTGGAATGATACTTACGGTCTCTCGCGGGCTCTTTTTAAAAAAGCAACACGACACCTTGAAGCGGCTCATTGGTGGCGGTGGATCGGGTGTTCGGATGAAGGACGGTACGCTTGTGTTTCCCGTGGAAGGCAAGAAGGGGAACGTTGGCACTGGAGAGACTGGAAAGACCGTTTCGCTGATTATTTACTTCGAAGAACATTACGACTTGGGAGGTGCCGAAGGGGATGTCTGCCGGTGGCTGCAGCGATCCCTGCGTCGTGGAGTGGGGGGAGGGAAAACTCATCATGATGGCTGCGTGTGATGATGGCCGCCGCAGGGTGTACGAGATCAATGCCAAGGAGGACTCGTGGACGGAGGCACTCGGGACACTCTCGCGCGTGTGGGGCAGCCCAAAAGGTTGAAAACGTGAAGGGCGTTGGGAGCGGGTTCACCACAGCGACTGTTGGCAATGGAGATGATAATAACAGAAAATTGATGCTCGTCACCCTGCCGGTGTATTCTAAAGCTTAGAACGGAGAAGAAGGCAATGAAAGAGGCAAGCTTCATCTTTGGGTGACGGACAATACGCACATTGTTGATATTGGGCCGGTATCCAGGGAAGGGGAAGACGACGTTGCCGCCAGCTCCCTGTTGCACAAAGGTGGTGAAACTGAAGCTAATAATAATGAGGAGTTGATTGCACTGTACGAGAAGGATAGGAGCGGTGAAGATACATCGTCACACAGTCTTTGGTCTGTGCGTCTGACTGCGCAGCTGCAGCGGGTGAAGGAGGTGGTGGCGACTTGGAAGAAAGTGGACGGCCTTGTCTCCCAGCTGTGCCTCACTTCAAGTGCTGCGGAGAGTACCTCGACTGGCACTGCCTGCACTTCTGTGGTCACGGATGGGCTGGTTGGCTTTTTGTCCGGCAACTTCTCTGAGAATACGTGGAGGGACGAATACCTCGGGGTGAATGCCACAGTAACGAGCGGTGTTGGGGCAGCAGGGACTACCGATGGTGTGACGTTCCGGGGAGCGTGGGCGGAGTGGCGTGTTGGCAAGCAGGGGCAGAATCAGCTGTACCACTTTGCGAACTACAACTTCACTCTTGTGGCGACGGTGTCCATTGACAAGGTGCCGGAGGAGGGTCCTATTTCTTTGATGGGTGTGAAGACGAATGGCCAAGGTAATCCTGTACTCCTGGGACTGTCGTACGACAGCGGTGGTAAGTGGAAATTACTGTGCGGTGGCGGAACGTCTAAGGAGCACAGCAGCACTTGGGAGAAAGAGACACAGTACCAAGTGGCTATTGTGCTAGAGAACGGCAGCCAGGGCTCCGCGTATGTCGATGGTAAGCAATTGGATGGGAATGAAGCGTGCGCATTGGGAAATAGGGGTTCGAACGAGATCTCCCACTTCTACATTGGAGGGGATGGAAGCGGCGCAGGGAGCCAAGACGACGTGTCTGTGACCGTGTCGAACGCTCTGCTGCACAACCGCCCGTTGACCTTTTCTGGTAGGAATGCCGATTTGGAAAAAGATGTCGCAGCACCAGCGGAAGCTGCTTCTCATACCGTGGCAGGGGGTCAAATGACGACGGCGGGGGAATCTGCCACTGCACAGCAACTGCTGCCGAGCCCATCGCAGGGAAGTGTGGGGAGGACGGCTTCGAGCTCCCATGCCGTTGGAGGAGCAACGGGTGATGGCGGCACTGTGAGAGGGAGCGGACTGCTGCCATCGCTGCTGCTTCTGTTGGGACTGTGGGGGTTTACGGCTCTGTGAGGAGTGACTGGCTGCCGCGTGGGACACTTGCGACCTCCCCTGCACAGAATTACTTTTTCTGGGAGCAAATTGCTCTCATAGCTCTGTTTTTTTTTTTTTTTTGCGCTTTTTAAATTTTTTGATGTTTTAAATTTTTATTTTTATCTCTCATCCCCCATCTCTTCTCTTTTTTGCTTTTGGGGCAATCACTATGGACGTGTTTTTCTTTTCTACTCTTTTGATTGTTCTTTGCTGCGCTCTTCCTGCGAGGGGTGCCGTGTGTTTCCCGCCCAACTGCTCCACTCGCACACCCACCGACACGCTCATGACGACGGCCCTGTGCGCCTCGCCTGCTGCACGCATGAGGAGGGGCCGCGACGAACGGCGCGCTGAGGGGCCGTGACGTGTGGGCGTGCGACGAGGGCCTGTGGGGCGGAGCACACATTTCTTCCCTCTTGTTTTGTTTTGTTTGCTGCCAGGGCTGGCAGGCACCCGCAGCGCCACACACACAGCCACGCCCTGCCGCCGTGTTTTTTCTTTTATTTTGTTTTGTCCTTTGTGGATGTGCGTGTGCTGCCACCGTGCGTGATTGTTGAGGTTGGGGCCGTACCGCATGTATCGCTGCCATCCAGCTGTGCCTCTTGCTGAGTTGATGCGTCTCCCTGTGCTTCTCTTCTTTTCAGCTCCCCCCAGTATACACACACATAAGTATTTGCGCAGTGCTCTGCAGGAATGCTCTTGGCGACGGCGGGACGTTGGCTTGCGTCCCGTGCTCACATGGAGAGACTGCGGCGTGTCTGCGGTGGGAGTCACGGTGCCATTGGATGGATGCGTGTGGGACGCCTTTTGCATTCTGCTGGATGCCGGCCGACGCGGCCGCACGATGCCCGCCATGTGTGAAGGTGCTGCCTGCCCTTGGGGTCATTCTTCTCTCCTCGTTGTTTTGGCTCTGCCGGGTGCGTGCGTTGCTTAGTGTGTGCTGACGCGTGACGGACGGTGCCACGATGGCCTCCTCCGACGATGACGGTCGCTGTGTTCTCGGCACACTTCCACACACGCTTCTTAGTCTTTCTGTGGGAGTGATTGCAGCAGGGCATTGGTGCAAGCGTGATGGGGACCACGACGGCGTCACCCCTCGAGAAGGTGCCACGCTCCGTCGGTTGTGGAGGGGCGAGGTGGTTTGCCTGCAGCCCGACTGACAGAACCGCACAGTCGTTTCATTGCGGTCACTCCGTCGGCATCACCCGCTGCGGTGGTGTCCTCAAGAGCCGAAGCCCCGATGAGGATGGCCTCGTAGTTGTCTGGCAGCTCAGAAGTTCAATCCCTTCGCCCTTCAGGATTGCCCTTGCTGCTCGACTGGCGCAGCACCAGCCCGGCATGGTTCTTCTGCACGAGTGCAGGCAGCAGAGTGCCCCAGCAACGCGGCGCGTTGGCTGCGGTGACTTCCAACAGACCTGCAGTGGGCGTGCCTGTGGGGGCGAGGAGCCCTGCTCTTTTTTTTTGTTGACTGTTGTTGAACCGTGTCCACCCAATTGTTCTGGTGGTGCGTGATTCTCATTGCTGGATGGGACGGTGCGTGGCTGTGTGACTTGTTTCTCCTTTTGCTTTTGCTTTTACTCTGCGTTGACGGGGAGTTAGTTTTTGCTGAAGGCTACACGCAAGTGACAGGAGTGATGGCGATGATGATGACTGGCCGTGTGCTGCTGGCGTGTGCCCTCTGCGTGCTGTGGTGCGGTGCTGCGTCGGCCAATGGTAGTGATGCTGCTGAAACGCACGAGGATCCGTCGAGGGGATTACAGTCTGCACCTCAACTCGGCCCTGCAAAACAACCTGAAGAAACAAAACCCATCGAGGGGGTCTCGAACACCGCAGAACAATCGTTGGATGCACAAGAGGTAAAGAATGGCAACCCTCCAAAAGGTTCTGTCAAACAAACACCAACACAAAATGGCGGGATGGAAGAAAATCTAAAAAAGGGAGAAGGAAAAAAAAGTGAGAAGGATGAGAAAGCAGAACAAGAATTGGAGGGAGATCAAGAACAACCACTGACACGTAAAGACACAACAGAAGACGAAAAGGAAACAACTCCAGCATTGCCAGAAAATAAAGAACCACCACCACCACCACCGGCAGGCGCAGCAACACCACCAGCATCTGATGGAAATCATCCCGGTGACAGTTCCAAATTGAGGAATTCTGCTTCTGATGGTGACATTCAACCTGCTGCTGACCGTATGCATTCCGGTGGCGGAGCCGGTTCTATCCGTAACGGTGGAGGGGGAAAGCAAAGTGGCCAAAGTGGGGTTTCTGGCGGAGATCACTTGCCGAATCCTTCTTCTTCTTCCGGTAGTTTTCCACGACCTCCCACTCACGATGGGAAGGGTGCTCCACAGGACCCTGGCGAGGATTCATCGCCTCAGAATAAGAAATCCCTTGAGAAAGTTGTACAGTCAGGAGCGTCTGTAGATTCCGCATTGCCCAAAGTGGACGAAGTTCAGAAATCAGAACCCGATCCTCAACAAATAAGACCAGAAGCTCTTGTTACTGTTGGTGGAACTGGAAACGAGGCAAGGCGGGAGGCGGAGGGCATGAACGAAGCGTCTAGTGGCAAACAAGTAACAAATGAAAAGGAAGTATTATCACCACCAGCAGGAGGAAGTGCGCCAGATCCTAACGGCACCCATAATTCACCAGAAACCAATGCGGTAAACTCAGCGTCAGAAAACGAGCCGGAGTCCAACTCACTGGAACGGCCTTCAGGGGATGGTGAGGCAGGGCAACAGGATAAGGAGGCAGACACGCAGGGAACACAAGAAACGGAAGTGACGCAAGGAACAGCAGCATCACCCGTCTCCACAAGTGGCAGTGGTGGTGCCCAGAGTGAGGCGGATGCGGATGGTGACGACCCTCAACGGCCTAACCCCGAAGGACCGCAGAACGACGGAACCGAAGCTGGCGATACCCACGGTCCAACTGCAGCCAGCGATGCAGCACCACAAGCAGCAAAAGCAATCACCGCTCAAACAAATGGTACGGTGACACCTGCCGACAGTGACGGCAGCACCGCGGTCTCCCACACCACCTCCCCTCTTTTGCTTCTTCTTGTTGTTGCGTGCGCTGCTGCTGCGGTGGTGGCCGCGTGAGAGTGAGTGTGAGAGAGCCGTGCACCGCCCGCACACACACTCTTCCTTCTCTCTGTGTGTGTCCCCTTGCATGGACTCTCGCCCTCACCTCACCCCACGAGGCACACACAATAATGTGCCCATTGTATATATGCATGCACACCCATGCAGGCCCGTTGGTGCTCTCTTTTGCACGACACGCACCGCTGCCGTCCTGCCTGGCTGCATGGGCGGAGCACCGTAACTGTTTCTGTTTTGTTTTTATTGCATTGAGTGGGCAACCTCTCTCTCTCTCCCTCTGTGTGTGTGTTTTGCTTTACGGGAGTAATGAGAGTGTGTGCGCTGGTCGTCCCACGCTTCGGCTTTCTATTGTTTTGCTTTTGTAGTGGTTGAGTGCACCCATTTCTGGGACTGCGTGTGTGTGTGTGTGATGATATGAGTAATTTGCGTGTGTGCTATCTGCCTCTCTCTGCCGTTGCTTTCTTCAGACTCTCTTGTGGCGCACAGCTGCTCCGCAAGTATAGGCGCTGCCAAACACACACATGCACAGATAGACACGTCATGCCGCACACGCTGTGGAGCGGCGTGAGCGCTGAGAACGCACGCACAATATTCTGGCTGCGGCGGCTTTTGCGAGGAGGGAAGGAGCGTGCGATTTGTTTTATTGACATGTTGCTGGTGTGATGTTGGCGGCCTGCGGCCAGTGGGTGGTGTGGTGTGGAGGGTGCCTGGGACGAGTGCGGATTGCTTCCCGCCCTGCAGCCTCGCGTGCCGACGCGTCTTTCCTGCTGCGGATTTTGTTGTTGGGGATATTCCGGCTGTGAGGGACAAGAATTAAACGACGGGCGGCAGCGCGTGGGCTTTGCGAAGGGCGGCCGTGCTTTTTTTGCATCTCGCTGGTTGATTTCTTGTGTGGGCGTTGCTCGGTGTGTTGACGCGTGGGAGAAGCACCCGCCGTGACCCCTGCTGGTGGCAGTTGCTGTGTGTTCCCGGTGCACTGTTCTTCCTTCTCCTGTTCCGTGTGTTTGTGCGCGTGAGTTGCTGTTGTTGGGAGTGGCTGCGGCGGGGATGATGGTGCCGCTCACAGTGGACGGGTGGCTGTGCTCACTGTCTTGTCTCCTTGCTTGGCATGCTCCCTTCTCTCTCTACTTTTTCACACACACGCTAGGAAAACAAGCGCGAATCGCTACTGTGAAATTCGAAGGCTCTGAAGGGACCAACAGCACACCGCCCACACACACATATTTGTATGCTCTCACGTGTTGCTGCAGTGAAGGCACCCCGCACACACAACCGTCGCCGCGTGACCGGATCCAGCGGAAGGAGGAGGGAAGGAAGAGAGGGTGAGCCGCAGGGGCCCAGCATGTCCCGGCGTGCGTTTACTTTCGCGGTGCTGCTCCTCCTTGTCGTGATGATGTGCGGCAGTGAAGCCACTTATGGCAAGGAGGGCAATTCAAGGAATGGAATCATTTTAAAAGGAGGGGATTTGTTTAATGATGCAGAGAACAAATCTATGATACATACGTTGGATTCCTTCCGTGCATCTTCTCTTGCGTACGTGAAAGGCGCTGTTGTGGCTATCGTTGAAGCGCGTTACACAAGTACCACGGATAGTAAATCGTGTGTTGTTGGTGCTGCGGACTCGATTGACAGCGATAAAAGGACGTGGACGAAGGGAAGTGCCCTCGTGTTTGGTCATTACGGCATTAGCTTTGACCCCCTGTTGCGCCCAACAGCTATTGTGGATGATGGGGGTATAAAAGGGTCTTTGTTGGGGGTTATGGCAAGTCAGGGGCTCCACTGACGAAGGTGGCTGGTGATGACTGTTGGACGCCCAGGATGGCGGAGGGTGACTTTCCGCATGACGATGAGGATGAGAGGAAGAAGGAGTTTGCGTGGCATGGAAGCGGCACCTCGAATCTTGACGGCCTTTTGAAGGATTTCAAACCCATTCCCGAACAATTCAAACCATTTGTGGGTGGTGGCGGGGCAGTCATTCGGTTGGAGGCCAAGAGTCGCTACGTGCTGCCTATTCACGCCTTGAAGGATGATGGAAAGGTCGTTTTGTTGATCATCGTTGCCAAAGGTTTTGCTTATGGCTGGGAGTTTTCAAGGGATACGAGACCTGCGGGATGCATCCGGCCGGCGGTACTTGCATGGAAGGACAGAGATCTCGTCACGATGACGTCGAGTGCGGACGGCAGCCGCGGGGCTTACTGGGCGGACGAAAAGGGGGAGTCGGTGGACGGAGGCATACGACACTCTTTCGCGCGTGTGGGGCAACTCACTGACACGTGCGGGGCACGGCGTGCAGGGTGGCTACGTCAGCGCGACGGTCGATGGACAGAAAGTCATTCCCGTCAGCCGGCCGGTATGTTCCGAGACGGACGGTAAAGAAGAAACGCGTCGACTTCACTTGTGGCTGTCGGAACTGCAGCGAATTTATGATGTTGGGCCGGCATCCGCTGTGGGTGAGAAGGTCGCCGCCAGCACTCTGCCGCACTCCGTTGAGCTGCAGGTATGGGAGGATCCAATAGAAGCGAGGAGATTGTGCTGCTCGTACGAGGTCGCTGCTGCAGAGGACGGTGAGTACAACATTGCTTTTGTGGGCCTGACGGAGAAGTTGGGGGACATGAAGGAGGTGGTGGCCTCACCAAAGGGCTGGTTGGCTTCTTATCCAGCACGTCAACTGACAGCACATGGAGAGACGAGTACCTCTGCGTGAATGCAGCCGTTCGCGGGGAGGTGACAAGTACTCCCGATGGTGGATTGACGTTCAAAGGACCCGGAGCAGGGGCGGAGCGGCCTGTTGGCGACATGGGGCCGAATCAGCCGTACCACTTTGCGGACAAGAATTTCACCCTCATGGCGACGGTGTCCGTCCGCGAGGTGCCGAAAGCAGGCAGCAGCAGCTCTATCCCTTTGACGGGTGTGAAGCTACATGACCCCGGCCACACGGTGCTCTTTTGTCTGTCGTACACGAGTGAAAATAAGTGGGAGGTAACAATCAACGCCAACACTCGGAGTTTGTCGGGGGATCGCAACTGGGTGCGGGGCAGAAAATATCAGGTGGCACTGGGAATGGATTATTATGTTAAGCATTTGATTGTGTGCGTGGATGGATTGCTGATGTACGACAGCGAAAAAGATTATGAGGATAATGAGGACTTCTTTGGAGAACTAAAAACAGTGTTGAGTTCCCACAGCACATCGCACTCCTACATTGGCGGGGAGCGTGCGGGGGACTCGGACGACGTTCATGTGACGGTGAGCAACGTCCTGCTGTACAACCGCATATTGAGCAATGCCAAGCTCAAGGCGGTAATGAAGAAGATCGTCGTTGGCACTCCAGTGGCGAAGGTGCCGGTTTCGAAAGGTGCGCCTCAAACCAATCCTGCGAGTGAAACCTTTCTTCAATCCGCCAACGAGGCGTCGTCATGAATGAAGAGCGGCAAGACGCCACATCATCATCACCGCAAAGTCAACACTCACCAGCGCAGCCATTAGGAAATAAAAATGGTCCAGCAGCTTCCATGCAAACATCTTCTGCTGATGCCATTGGCCCATCCACCTCAGGTGGTACGGGGAAGTGAAAGAGGAGGAACCCAGCAGCGGTGGAATGGTGCCTGCATTGTCTCCAGCGTTGAGCGCGGGCAGCCGTCCGCTGCCAACACGCTCGCCAGCGACAAACAGGACGCTGGCCCTGAATGGGACACGCATGCTCACACTGCCGTGGGCACGAACAGCGGCCCCGATTCACTCAGCACCACCGACGCGACGCCCGCGGATGGCGCCACAGAAATCCCTGAGCCCCGCACAGACCCAGCAACTGTTCAACGCAACGATAGTGTGCTGGACGGCGTTGGCACCGCACCGACTCATCCGAGCACAGCGCCTGCGGAGTCCAAGATCCCATCGGAGTTCAACGCAGCGCCGCCCTTGGGCAATGACCTTTTTGACTTGGAGAATATCACCGAGTTGGTGTCCATGGGTCTAAGGGCCGACAGCAACGTGCATGGGTGTGAGTCTCTCGTGTGCTACTATTGCTGCTGCTTCCGGGGCTGTGGGCCACTGCGGGCTCTCTGCTGAGGTGTGAGGGAGGGTGGAATTGCGACTTCTCGTGGAGCAACAAATGTGCAGCTTCCCAGCATTACTCACCGAATTTTGTCAGGGGCCCATTTTTTTCTTTTGTTTTTTCTAACTTTTATTATTATTATTTTTTGTTTTATTTTTCTTTTTGCGGCTGGTGCTCTATTGGAATAATCAGCACCGCTGTGTTTTTTCTTATTTTCAATGGCCGTTTGCTACAATCCGTTATGAGCGGCGTGTTTCCGACTTTTGTTTCTCTTTTGATGCCCACACGCGGTGCCGGCGTCACTGCTGCGCGTCCGGCGGAGTGCACAAAACGAGGAGTGGCGGAGCAGGCCGGATGCCGCATGGAATATAAGGGATGTTCTGTGGGCTGGTGGGGGAGTGCGATCTTTTTTTTTGCTCCAATTTTTTTTTTCTCTGGTGCAGGGAATATGCATACACAAACACACGGTCGTCTTTTGCTGCATGGCACACGTAATAAAAGTCCTTCCCAATAATATTCACCAATTTTTTTTTTACGTTTGTGAAATCCCGCCAGGCTCCCACCCTTTTGTTTCTCACCTTTTTTTCTTTTGGTAAATCACTGCGGCTCGTGTTCTTCTGTGCCGTGCCTACTTCCAATGGGTGTCTTCGTTTCCCGTTGACTGTCCCTCTGCTGGTTGTGCCGTTGAAATGTCCCCATAGCTTTTTCTTTTCTGCTAGAGGCATCGATGGCACGGGGGTGACTGGGCGTCCTGCCCCGGCCTGCTGAGTGCACTCGGAGTGGAGCGGATGGTGTGCGCCGTGCCTCACTCTTGAGTGTGGGACGCCACCCACCACGACCTGCTGTGAGGCTCAGTGATATTTCGTCGGGGCGGGGAGAAGTGAAGGACTGCGCCGTGGACTTGGACGCGCCTCGTTCGTTTTGTTGTTGCCGTGTGTGTGTGCTG